TGGGTTTGAGCCACTGGTGGGTTTGAACCACGAACTTGAAGTTAGCAGTCCACTACTTACCTGATAGAACTACTAGGTCTCAGTAACTACCTGTTAATTCTAAACCTACATAAATGTTAATAAATGGTTTGACTAATAATCTAAATGTTATTCCTTGCTTCAAACTCCACCTTGAATAGCCATGTCTAAATATAGGCAAATGACTCAATAAAATGGGTAGAATCTAACAAATGCATGACACATAGTAAACTGTATTAAATGCTGGGAATGCAGTCTAAAAACAAGAGATTTAACTGACTCTGCACAGTATGGGCTCAGTACATGCTACTGAATACCCAGTGGAGACACGTTCCTGAAATCCTAACTGCTATACATTACCAAACATCATGGGTTTATTTGATTCTTTTAAAAGCAAAACTACAAATAATTTGTTATAAAATGCCTACTCATGAAAAAAAATTAAATTCAGAAAGTTATATGCTTACTTGGGACCTGTTCATCCCAACAGGGCAAATGTAGTGATGTGGAGAAAAGGTTGGCTCCCAATAGACCTTTTCTTAGACTCTGCCAAATGTTCAAGGGTGTGTAGATCAGCTTGTTCTCTGAGTTTTTTGGAATGAAAGTACACCTAGATCACTTGGAAAAATGTAGACTCCTCAACATTGAAGAATTTTTCATATGCACGTATATGCATTCATCTTTTTGTTAGAAAATAATTTCAGAGACAAATAACAATCATTTACACTGTGCTGAGTTCATTAAATGAAATATAGGTATGCACTGGTTCTAAAATATCTATTCCCTTCCTAACAAATAAGCACTATGTTCTTTCTTTCAAGAGACATATATTAAATGTCTGTTTTTGTGCCGAGCCCAGTGTTAGAAACTAGAAGTAATAGACAAACAAAACATAAAAAAACTATCCTGGGTGAAGACCACATAGCACAGCAGGGAAGAGTCCGGCACCACACTGAGTCGGGTACCACCTTGCTTACATGTAGACTTAAACTCTGACATCTGTGGTCTGGGACAAGTTAAACTTATTGTTTAATTCTGTTTTCTCATCTGCAAAATGGGCCTAATAATAATACCTACTTCATAGTGTTGATCTAGTGCCTGGACGGTACAAACATTTTCCATTGGTTAATAATCAAAATATTGTTGGTTTAAACCCACCCAGTGAGGAAGGCCTGGTTACCTGCTTCCAGAACAATTACTAGCAATTAGTGAACCTTACAAAGCTGTGTGACTCTTTAACAGGTGAGGTCACCACGAGTCAGAATCAAGACCATGGCAACTTAGCCTTTTTATATTCGTTAATGAGCTAATAGTTGTTCTGGTTAAGACATGCTAAGAGACTTTTCAAATAACCAGAATAAAGAGGTTTATAGTTCTGCAGTAAAAACAATAAGAAAGTATCTGTGAATAAATGTGTTTCGGA